GCGATACGCTTTTTGATTTCCTGACTGCTGGTGCCAAGAGTGTTGACTGTGGAGCCCAGCAAACTGAAGCTGTGAACGCTCTCAATCTCTTCGTCATCCATCCTGATGCTGCCAATTGGTCCAGTGGCGAGAATCTTTGTCTTCTTGACATTGAGCCTTAGTCCATACTGAAGGCTGCAGTACTAACATAATATATTTCATTGTCTTTTCACCAAGAGTATTGTAAATGCTTTCTCTCAGTGTATAATCATGTCTTGTCTGCCTGCTTTTCATTTCCCACGGACTTCTTTTTAAAGTCCTCAATTAATTCTTCTGAATAAATATATTTTAAAGTTTTATTTCTTTGGTTCAAGTATAAAAATATAAAAAGAGATGCACTTAATGGATACAAGACAATTCATATGGCAGCTATATGAAAGTCTGCCTTCGTGTCAACAACAGCATCACTAAGTGGCTTCATTCGAGCACATTCAGCTCTTTCCAGTGTGTCTCATCTGAAGAGATAAAGTAGGGAAAGACACAGGAGCCACTTGCACAGACATCTTGTCCTTGGTGGGATATATTTCAAGCAAAAGCCAGCAGTTTTCTTCTTTGCCCTTTTGTAAACCAGCTATAAAATATTCTGGTAACAGAAAGTCTTGTCTGTTGGGATGGAATATGGCAAAGGAGGAGTTCTGCTCCACTTCAGGAGGAGGAAAAAAAAAGATAAAAATTCTGAACAGTTCTATAGGCTTCGGAAAAACCAGTATGTCCACTCTTATAACATGTTTAGGACTTGAATGCTATTAGCAAAGTTATCTTTACATATCCAGTAAAAAAGAGTTGTTTGGGGTGTTGTTTCATTTTGGGTTTTTTTTTTTTCCTTTTTAAATAAAGGTTATTGCACCATAACCATTGATTCATTCTTCTACACACACTTCTCATGCATTCATTTTTATGAAACTCTGCCAGGTTAGGAGTCTCTCTCTCTAACATCTTATATTATGAACTTTCTTGCAGTGTTCATGCAATTACTGTGCAAAGTTATTCCACTAACTGCTGGAAATAATTTACGGCATTCAGTAGGATCCTTTATTGTTGTATTCTCTATCAGGTCCATTACAGTGACTTCCACATATTGGTTGCTAGATG